CCCCCCCCCCCCCCCTTCACTACAACCCATGTCTAAGCAAAAGCTTGTCGAGGAGCGAGGGGAAGAAGGGAGAGTGGTACAGGACCAAATTGCAGCCAGCTTACGCCGCTTGGATTATGTAGCGTGCTCTTGATAAAATACTTAAAAATACGTCTTACATGGTGTTACAGCTAGTACAGCAGGAACGTTCTTGTTATCCGAATGCAAGACACACACAAGGGCGACGGAAGCCTGCAACAGCAACGTCGGGCACAAACATCGTGTGCTCTTTATGTACACGTGTCTGTAAAAAAAGCATCACATCCTTCTACGCCTGCAAATTTCAACCATGCAGCACCCAGAACCGATCCGGAAAGCAAGCGAGGTTCGACCCCCCCGTTGCCTTCTGCGTCCCCTCTGTTCGCCGTTCCGAGCCCTGCCGAACTCAGCCACACTCAACTCTTTTCAACGAATCCCCCGTGAAACAAGGCACCGGCGGTGGACAACCCGTGGTAATCGTAGTAGTAAATTTACCGATTTTCTTAGGGTGACGTGTCGGAACGACACATAAAAGCTGCTTCTTGCGTGAAGCCAACTCTTGGCACACCCCGGCCCCTTCACACCCCACCACTCTCTTCACCTTTGTCGGGGGTGGCTCCCGACGCTGCCGCTCTGCTGCTGCGCCGTCGAATAGAGGCGGCCCGAGTCTGGGTGAGGTCCCGTCTTGACCCGGAACCGACTCCGCAATACCCGCCCCACATCGCGGAACGATCGCTCGCGACCCGGTCATCACCATCATCGCCGCCATTATCCTCCTCCTCGTCGTTATCATCCCGTTCGCTGTCCTTCAAGAGAGCCGAAGAGTGTTGGATGCGAAAACTATCCGCGGGCGACAACCCCCTGTTGCTGCTCCTCCTCTTGCTGCTATTGGCGTTGTAGTTGGCGTAGTCGTAGTCGTCACCGTCTTCGTCGTCTTCGTCGTCGTTGTGTTGTTTTTCCTCGCCGCCGCCGCCGCCGCCGCCGCCGCCGCCGTCTTTGTAGGCGGTGTTGGAGGCCTGTGGCCCCGGTAAACTTCGGAACGAGACCGCGGGTCGGGGACCCAACGAAGAGGACAGCGGCGTGGCCGGCGAGCTCGGGGCCAACCACGACCCCCGCCGCCGGAGCTGCTGCCGCGGCGGCCGCTGCGGCGTCCAGAGGTTGGCGTTCGAGGAGGCGTTGCTCGGAGAGCTCACCACAAGCGGCATCTGTAAGGAAAAAACGCGGGTGACGATTGGAGGAGGAGGAAGAGGAGGAGGGGCGACGGTCGCGTTCTTGTGAATGATTTTCGTCAGGTTTGCTTGCCGAACTACTTGCGATTGTGATGCGGTGCGTCACACAGTAGCGCATCGGGGAAGGGGTGTCGTGTGCAAGAAATACGAACGGCAACGGTTGGGGGTAGGCGGTAGGCAAGGGAGTCAAGCTGACGCTTCATGGAACGGCGAGCAACGGGAGGCCCTGCGTCAAACAAATACTGATCCGCTAAACGCCCACCGCAAGATGACTGTAAAGTACTGCTCGGACCGGACGCGACGGGATTCATTCTTGAAGAAATATCGCTCCTGGAACCATTCTCCCTCCGAACAGCGATTGAAAGGATACCGACACACCAAGCTTCCACTACATGCCCCCTCCCTTCCAGACCGACTCACATTCCACGCCCCTCCGCCGCCCGCACCCTACAACGCGTCGATGCAATCAACCAAACATCCAACGACTTGAGGCATAAAAAAACCTGAGTATCCCGCCCCTCCCCATTCCCGCGCCCGCTTCCTGTGTGTCCCCCCCCCCGTTCGCTCACCCTCCGAGCCAGAAAGCACGCCACGGGCCTCCCGTCGGGTAGGCGCTCAACGCTATCCTCCAGCACCTCGAATCCATGCCGGTCCCCAAAATACCTCGCCAGCTCCCCCCTCCTGAGGATTTTCTTGTAGTCCCTCGGCGACGAGTGCGGCCACCGCGCCAGGGTGGCGGCTGCGGCGGCGGCCTCGAGGGCCGCTGCGGGGGACCCCGGCTTGTTCTTCTTCCTCGCCTTGCCAACAGGTGTGCGTTCTTCTTTCCCCGCCCCCTCCGCGCCCGGCCGAACTGGACGGCCGCCGGCGGCGGGAGCGTCGCAACTTTCCAACGGGAGATCGCTCTTGAGCAGACGCTCCTCCGCCTCTGCTGATGGGTCCCCCGCTCTTGCTCCCCGCCCCCCTATCGCGGCCGTCACCACTACTGGCGTCGCACTGACAGTGGGCACGGCGGCAGCGACACCCTCATCATCATCAGCAGCAGCGGCGGCGCACCCTGCCTTACCGTCCCTTCTATCCGTGAAAGCAAGCCCTTCCCTGTCCCCGCGGTTGCTAGGTAAGCTGGGAGATCTCTCCCCGTTACGTGGGCCACCCCCGGCGCTACCACCAACGGCACCGCCTAATGCTCGCGGCGTCTCTCTCTCCTCCTCAATAAACGTCGAGAGAAGAACGTAACCGCCGCGGGGGTCCACCAGCCTGACAAGGGTGTCGAAAGCGCTGCGCTCTAAGAATCGTATCGCCACCACGAGAGCGTACGTGCCATACTCCGACGCGGGTGTCGAAGGGCGGATTATCAGCTCTCCTGGGGATAGAGAGAGAGGGGCGAGGATAGCGGGGGAGGGGGGGGGGGGGG